TTTTGATCGAGCTGATTCGCACTAAATAAATATATTCCGTGGTATTCTTAAATATTGTATAATTCTAAAAGAATACAAATACGTATGTATTCCACGTTGTTACCCACTCTTTTGGCCTTTATTTTTAGTTCATTACTAAAACAATTTAGAATTATAAAAATTATAAAGAAATTTATATTATATATAAATGAACGACTATAATTATTATAATTATTTTTCTTCGAATTGCTCATTTATATTTGCTCTCGCAAGTGCATACAAAAATTACAAAGGAAAATACTTGTAACTAAAAATGGTCAAGATGTGTAGCAATATCAGCATCCGCATTTTCACTTTTTTTATGCATTAGATTTGTTCAATACTTCGCGAACTAAACGCTTCCGCATCTCTATCATTTAATTGAACGAAATTGAGAAAAACAAAAAGAATAGATGATAAAGCTCTGTTTAATGACTGACTATAGCTTTAGCATCTATTTTTTTGTTTTCTCTCTGTCTCGTTCAACGAGAGGTGGAGAAATCGTTAGCTTGCGAGCAAAGTGGACAGGCCTGTTATACAGATCTTCATTGTTCACGTTTAAATATAAATGGCAAATCAAAAATTTCACTCGTTACTACTTGTTACGAATTGTATTTAAATTCGCGTACACGCTATGCCACGCACAGTTCAACAGAAAATAGATGAAACGATACGGATTTACGAAAATTCTTTCTATGAATTAAAAATTAAAATTAACTTTTTTCTGAAAAGCTTTTTAAATAAAAATTATGAAAGAATGAGATCAAATTCTCTTCTTTTTAAACTTTTTATTTAGTAATATTGCAATAGAAAAGGCAATAATAAAAGATTTTTTTCATTTAAAGTCCAAGTAGTTCAAAATGAAAAGCTCGATATCAAACAAGCGAATTTTATCGATTTCTTTCGAGGCATTTATCTTTCTCGTGGTTTGTTCGTTACGAAACTATTTTACGTATATATCCATTCAAGCGATATTAGTTTAAAGTTCCGTATCTTCCTACGGATAAGGTAAAGCGAAGTGTAAAGCGATAGCTCAATTAATTAACACTGCACGCGTTATTATTGTCAAGTTCATGTGCGCACAGTGAGAAAACGCGCTGAGTTTTTGATAAACTGTTCACTTTCAATCGTAAAAACTTGACGCGTGCTCTGTACGCGCACACAAAAAAAAACACACACACACACACACACACACGCACACGCATGCACGCACATGTTTTACCAATATATGCCTTCGTCGTGTTTATATGTATACTTTGGATTCTTAATTTTAAGGCTAAAAAAAAGAGAAAAGTCGCACAAGTATTAACACGAGTCTAGAGCTTAAGGTGACTTCGACCTCGAATTAACTTAATCGATGATTAATCCAACCGACGAAATTGTCTCCGGAAAAATTTTTATAATTCTACATAATTCGTTTATTTCTCCAATTGTTTTTTCTTATATATGAACAAAATTTTATTCACATTAACAATTAAAATATTACAGGCATTACAAAATACGAAATCACCGATTAAATTAATCAAGATCTTCTCAAAATTACCTTAACTCGTTGCTTCGAGGCTGCTTCACGGCATAGATACACGGAGTGTCCTTATAAAAGCATCATTTTTTATTTACATGATGAATCGATTTGAAAGAAACTTGGGACACCCTGTGTAGACATATTATGCCTGCGTTAAAGACTCGAACTGCGCATTATGGATGGTATGTGATAATTTAATTGTTTCAGCCCGAGACGCTCATTAAATCGATGATGATATCAAATATGCAGGATTGGGAACGTTGTCTTGAAAAAGCAACGTGTTATTTTTTGTAAAAAGTTGTTATTATTTAAAAAGTTACTGTTACTTGAAAAGTAACGAGTCGTTATTTTTTCATTACTTTTTGTACTACTAAAATAAATTTAATTACATTTTAAATTTATATTTGATAATCATTATTAAATGTAATATAACAAATATTAAAACTATATTAAAACTCTCTAAATTAGTCTGTATATATAGAGCAAGTTTTTTTCTTTGTATTACTTATTTTTATAGAAAGTTAAATTTATTGTTTTTAAACATTAATGTCAAGATCGGAAGAGCACAC